GTGATCTTCTCGCGCGAACCAAGCGGGAGATCCATGATAGAATAGGCACGCGTGTATCTCCACTTTTTTTTTCCCTCTCTTCCTATTGCGCCCTGCGCCCCGTAATAAGTCGCAATTAAAAGTCGATCGCGAATCTCACCGCACAGTTGATTATCGCCGCTCTGATCGCAGTTCTCTATCGCTACCTCCTTCGTTAACAGGTGACAATTCTCAAATATGTAATCTCTATTTTTTTTATTTAATGTATGCGACGCGAGGGATGTTTAATACTTTTGGATTGCATTTAGTTCAGAAACAATGTAATGGATGCAATGTAATAATGTTCTTAAGAAATTAATCAATCATAATTGAATGTGAGAAGTACAATCGGCTATTGGTCAGTTTCTTAGGACTTGCTACGCCTATTGTGTTTTGGGACTGTAAAAACTGTTGGTTCAGATTGTTTTAAATTTGATTTAATTTAATTGTGCGATGAGATATAATATAATTCGGTAATAAACCGTGTCTTATGTGTTCATTCGATATAAAATGAAAAATTTCTCGGTTAATGTGTCCCTCACATGTTTCATAGGTGAACACCTACAAAAGTTTCACGTTCATTAGTACGGTACCTAAATTGCAATGTTTGGTTCTGAGCGTGACAAAGAATACGTCGGGTCGACAGATTTTCTAAAGCAAATTTCTTTTGTCTGCGCGCAACTGTTACATTATGATAATTAGGAGCTCTTAATGTCGAAATAAAAATTGGAAAAAATCTTGGAAACCTCGGAAATTCTTTACGTAATTGAAAAGCTTATGATTTACAGTTAATTCATGAATTATAAGAAATAATAGTTTGAAAACTGATCTCAACAGACATAATAAAAAAATTAATAAATGGAAGAGATTTATCAAAATTTCACAAGATTGAAATTTTTATATATAGATGAAGTAGTCTATATACAAGAATTTCATACAAGACAATTTCTAAAGTTCTATAATCAAATTATGAATCTGTTATTGGCTGGCGAATTGTCAGTTTCAATTATTTGCATTTCTCTCGTATGTTTTAATCTTTTATTAAAAGATACTAAAAGATTTATCGTCTTTTTAATCGAGACATCAATTTGCATAATTTCTTATTAAGCAATTGTTTAAACACATATGAAAATATGGAATTATCGACGTGTCTTCATTGATATAAATTTGAATAATAATATAATTAATAATGAAATATAAATCTGCGAGAATTGTTTAAGTATTTAGAAAATAAAAATAAAATAATAAATACAATACGTGCATCGAAATAGTTGAGACTATATTGCGATGCAAGGAACAAAAGATATAATTGTAACGCTCTACTGGTTGCCAGTTACGGTCACCGATTGACAGTTCTATTTTAGCCAATTACATTGCAGCTAGTTCGTACTCGCTGCATCTGATTGACTAAAATAGAACTTACAATCGTAATCGGCAATCTGTAGTATAATGTGATTAGGATTTAAGTGCTTAAATATATTACTTGAGATGCAACGTGTATGCTTTGATTTTATTTCTTTGAAATAAATAATTTACATAATTGACCATTGTAATATTTCCTGCATCAATAAGTATGGATCGACAGAGAGCTTATTTATACACTTTACGACATGCTTGATGACCCCATATCGCATCATTATATATGTATATATAATGATATAAATATTTTGACATTAATCTTTAACATTTTCCGTAAATCCGCGTCAATGCTGGTAAAGGCGGTATGTTGCAGAAAAATTGTTCCTCTTAAACTTCACAGCGCTTTTGCCGTGAAATTACATGAAATCCACTTTACCGTTGGTTTTTTTTTTTTTTTAATATCGTATGTCGACTGCATTATTTACAATTACACAGTCGTATTACTTTGTATATTTTAGATAATATCAAAAAATATAAAATTAAGATAAAATAATGATATAAAATTGAATAAAAGTAAGCCAAAAAATAACTATTTTCTATAATAATCTAATGATTTATAATTGAAAATATAATTTTTATGTCAAAATAAAAAATTGCTAAGCTCTCTAATCTAATTTAATAATAATTAAATGTTAAAAATTAAATTTAATAATCAAATAATAATATTTGGATTTTAATGTGAAAATCTCCTTTTTTGTCGCATACCACTTGATCTTCTTTCATATCTAGAAAAAGCAGGGAAGTCTGATAAATTTCATCAGATTTCTATATAGCTCTTTCACATCTGTTATGATGATTCGTCTTAGTTTTTATTAATAAATTTCGAGCAACCGCACCCAGAATCGATCTCGAAGTTTTGGCACAGTAACCTTTCGCGAATTCCAAGTCATCGATTTTTATGCGAGCAATATTCACTCGTCTTATACTGGGCTATTTTTACAATTCTAACAGAATGACCCCGAAATCTAGATCTAAGACGCAGCTTCAGTTTATGTCTTACTAATAGTGATTAATAGCTTATATGCACGCCACACATCACAGGAACGGCTTTATCCTTAAAATTTCTTTAACTTTAAGGGATAGAAGAGTCTTGCATAATGTACAACTTAATGCATAAGAAAATAAACTAATCAGAATCCTTTATTTCTTTCCTTTCCATGAAATAAAAGATTCTGATTGAGTTGATTTTCTTATGCTTTATACATTATGCGTTATGCAAAGGTATTCCTGCTTTAAGTCTTGGATCGCATATGTAACTTATATCAAATTTATCTTGTCTTCTTATGAGTCCATTATTTATTTGCGCTATCTTTCTTCCACGTGGGATAGATCTATGCCAAATCCCATAATGATGATCCCATTTGATTATATACCGACAAATAGTTTTTGCGTCAGTAACAAAAGTTTATTCGTATAAAACATTTCTCTCAATGAATCTTCAGAATTTTGCAAATGGGGAACAAGATAATTTCATCCTTACCGATGGATATGCTTATATTATGCATATTTGAACATTCTCAACAATTTCGAATCAGATTCATTATCAATGTGATAATAATTACAAAGTATGATCCGTTACCATAATTTTGACAATCACTAAATGAAAAGAAAGATGGTCTTACAATATGATTAGAATTGATTCTACTCATTTTGTTCCGCTAACTTATAAAATGTCGGATATTCGCACATTGTAATGTCCGTTCAGTTGTAAAGACGGAACTAATTATCCGATCGGAGGGAACATTGATATAATCGATAAGCGCGCCGTATGTAATTATATAGAATGTTAAAAATATCACGCTTTATTTTACATTACATACACCCTGCTCGTTATCAACTGAACGCATTATTTGTACGCGTCGCGCGCGGTTTTCGTTCGCACGAAGCCGTGAGAGTGTGTGTCATATGGGAAATATTTTGCAGTTCTCCGTTCGAAAGAGAGTTTCGCGCTTCCGCCGATAAACGCGAGATCTCGAGGGGAAGAAGTCGAGCGAGACGCGGCGGCAAATCGATAGAGGAAACGCACGATGAAACATATGATGAGGGAGAACGTGCCGGCGATGGTGTAACCTCGCGGGTCACTGGACATAAAAAGAACAGAGGGAAGCTGGAAGAGACAGCTTGTCCGTGGGCTTTCGACAATTTAAGCGGCGGCAGGATCAAAGGTCATGGCAACGCCGCCGGACTCGCCGGGACCGGAAGAGGCGTTCTTCGACTTCGAGAGCACGAGGGCGAGGCAACAGACTACCAGACCGGTACCTATAGAGGAACTTCTGCGACAGACCAAGTTCTCCCGCCAGGAGATCCGAGTCATGTACCGAGGCTTCAAGCAGGTACGTTCCTCTTGACCTATCAGGCACCATCGATCCCTCTCAGGATCGGACTCTCTCTCGAATTGGCAAACGCGAAATTATGCAGGGGGCAAAAGCATTTTTATACCGTCGTATTCATCGCAATTTTTATCACACCTTCGTTGTAATATGTAAATGAGCTTTGCACTTCGCTGCAAAGCGCCATCAATTTATTTTCATCACTGAGCTTGCTGCAACGATTTTTCTCTTATATGCGAGATTTTCTTTAATTTATTCGAAATTGTTTTATTGGCACTTGCACAGTTGTTTTGCATTTTTAATTTACGATTGAAAATTTCAACTGAAAAAAACTGACTCGCATCCCAAAAATGTCAAAGAGAAAAAGATTTTCTGATAATATAAATATCTGATAATATAAATCTGATAATATAATAAATTTATTTAGAAACTTTATTTCAAAAGTTATTAATTCTCACGCTCTTTGTGCTTGTTATCTTTGTGCTTGAATATCTTTGAATATTTAACGTAATAGAATTTGTCAAATGTCATATTCTATGGAAAAACAAATGAAATGTAATCAAATATGAGTCATATCTGTTACTTCAACTTCGAATCATGCCGAAGGCAAGATTTCTGAATATCGTTTTGTTCGTTATTGCAAGATTGAAACAACGGTTGGTAGCTGATATAGCATAGTTCGTATTAGTATTTTTAACTCTTTCTTTATTAAAGATAGTCTCGCAAAGTATTGATTATTCATGGGCATCCCACAGAAATTGTGTTAACGCGGTTACGTAAATGAATTGATTATAGCGCTGTTGAACTCAATCATCAGTAAAAAGCATTTCTTCCCAATCGATTTGCTGCGTTATCATTGAACATTTGGTTAACCTTAACTATTTGTGGTAAACGAATTTTATATCGAAGTTATTCGTAAATTATACTTCGAATATACAAACATTTTATTATAATATTTATAAACAAATCTGATATTTCTGAGACATTTTCGAAAATCAATTAATATGGAAATTATAGGACTAATCAAACTCGATTTATGTGGATGAAATGTGGGTGAGTACACTGATTTATATTGAATTCATTTCACGTAATTTCTGTAGTAATGAGTAAAAGTAAGATAATGCAGCAACAAAGTACAAATTGCGTTAGTAATATGGAAATGATTGTAGGGGGTATAAGACATTTATATCGACCTAGAAAACTTTCGGATGCGTCCGATTGTAAGAAAGAGTATAGCAGTAGAAACTTGCATAGCGGTATAACAGAAAAATAATAGAAACTTGGCACTAGACAAATAAATTCGTATAGCCAGAAATGAATTTGGCTCTCTTTCCAATCATAGTTTTATGGCTAAATTTTACATCACTCGCGTCTATTTCCATTGATAGAAGTTACACGATACGCGATAGAAGTTTCCAATAGATTTTAACAGAAGCAATTGTATCCTTCGTAATATTGGATTACTAACGAGCTATTAAATGAATATAATATTAAGTTCCTGATAATACAATTTATTTGTGCGCAGATAACTTTTTTAAAATCAAATCTTTAAAACTCATATTTTCTCTCTCTCTCTCTCTCTCTCTCTCTCTCTCTTGATTATATTTTTCTCTTATATAGATATTTATATAATATTTTTGTTTTTGAAGAGCACTTTAGAGAAATTTATTCCCAGAGTACTAAATAAATGATTTCTCTCTCCCTTTTTAATTTAAATAAATTGGTTTAAATAAATTATTTATATAAGAATATTAACATGCCGATTACAAGTATATTTCTTAATAATATTTTCAAATGAGTGCGCTAAATGATAAAATACTGAAGTGTTATCGGCAAATATCTGTGATGATCATTCATGGACGTAATTATACGATGCCACTTACTCTACTGTTAATTCACCAAAGTGGTCCAGTGTCGATATTGAATCTATGGACTCGTTATATGTTCGCGCTTTGCGGTGCATAATTTTTCGCTGGCGCACGGTTCGGTGAAACTCAAAGCCTTGCACGCTTCGGAATTCTGTGCGGTCCGTTACTTTCACGACTCTCGTAAAATATTCACCAGCGAGCGATCGCCAGCGAGTTGTGGCGACCAACGCGACGGTCAATGCGGTAGTCAATCCACCTGACGTTGAGCCGATGTGCAGTCTCTTCAAGGCTCCCCAACGTAAATATCTGTAATATCTGTATTCTTGCGGTTGTTTTGTACAATATATTGAAAATGACGTGTATCTCTCGTTGGCAAAACTATACTCACAAATGTCGTAGTGCGATATCATGACAATACATAATAACAATGCAAAGTGTCCGTTTATTAAATATATAACGAGGGTATCATACAGAATGAACGTTTCGACTCCACTTCGAGCCTATTTTTCAGCATATACGAAAAAATTATTTTATGTCTTTTTATAGCCAAAATGTCAAATGACCTGAATAGAAAGTACAATATATGAGTCATAATGATAATTCACGCAACGGAATGTAATCGAGCTAATCACGTCGAGCTAATCACAGTCGAGTATTCTCCTCTTATTCTAAGAGAGGAATACTCGCGTACACAGAATATGGTCGCAAGCCATAAACCGTATTCTCTAAATCTGAATCAATGGATAATCACTGATATCAGTGCCAAGTATGCCACTGGTAATCAGTGAATGAAATGTGAGATCTCTAATCTAGCTAATTATGTACTCTAACTAATCTTGTTTGCATAAGTTCAATGAATATGGTATTGGAAAATTGAAATTAACATGCAAATATCAGTATTTTAGTTATAAATGCTCAAATGCTTCTTCCTTTTTTAATTTCATTGATTATCAGTGCCAAGTATGCCACTGAGTAATTAGTGACTATCCACTGATTCAGATTTAGAAAGTAAAAATAAATTAATTATAGTTTATTAATCAATTTTTTTTTTCGTATTCAACTGTGATTGGCCAATTTTTTACGGCGACCCTATTGTAAAACAGGTATAAGACATCTTGGCATAATGTAACGTGTTAAAT